GTATCCCCTTGAGCCAGGGATGCCACGACCTCCTGGTGAACCCAGTCTACCTGGCTCTCCAGGAATAACCATGCCTGGGTCACCCTGCAACACAGACAGAAATGTAAACAATCCACATGTACTATGTTTTGCAAATCTGCCCAAATACTTTCTCCACTGTGTGATCAATTAACTTTTTATTAGGGTAATTTTCTCCATCCCCTGGGGATCTTTCACATTATAATTTTTAATGGCTCCAATTCAGCAGACCCCTGGATGTTCCTTATTGACCAGCCACAGGTTCCATACTGGAGGAGTAATTCCTCTAGACAGCTTTTGAACTCTGTCTCCTAACTCCAAGGAATTGCTACTGAGCAATGCAAGACACTTGGCCTTTACTGCATTGTGATGCTTGCTATAGCTGTGAAAGGCTTTGGGCCTATATCTGAAAATTTGGTTGAAGTTTGTGCAAATACAGCTTTTCCTTTATTTTATATGATAGTAATATTTTTATCAAAATATTTATTTAAATAATCAAGGTCAGCACCCAGATGTGTCTCGGAATACTCAGTGTCAGTTATTGTTGGGTTTTTTTTTTAATCATTCTTCTGAACTTTGTTTTCCATGAAGACTGTTTTACCACAAATGTCCCAAGTTTATTGCCTGAAAGGAAAGTTTGAATTGGTTTTCTTTTTGGATGACTGAACTACTGGTTGTTTTGAGTACTAGCTTTGAGTACCAGCAAATCAGTATGTTCATAAAGCAGATCAGTAGAGCTGAGCTTATACCAGTCACTGATGATACACTTGGACCACAAAGGCCACTCCACATCCAGCTGTACTGTGGCAACACAGAAATATAAAAAAAGCCACAACCCCAAACTCCACTCTTTGTCATGTCAAAAAAACCCACAAAAGAATGACATATAAGCACACAAAAAAAGAAATGCCACCTTTTCAAAACTTTAGGTGTTATTATTTTGTTCAAATTTGAATCCTGATTACAGAACAGTCAAGAATCCTACATTTATGCATGCCTTCACTAGATTAGCTTCTGTTAATCAGCAAGAGTGGCTGCAGTATTACCTCCAACCTACTTCCTCTACACTTCAATTCAATAGAGCACTTGCTTAAATTAAATGCATAGTTACTTGTCACTGACCTCCATCAAGTATGTGCTTAATTACAATTTCTGAATAGCCATCTTTTCAGAAGCTGTGGCCTTAATTTTTTGCTGTAAGCAATGCAGTATCCTCCTTGTGCTCCGAAAACTGAAGTACCAAAACATCCCAAACACTTGGAGTTCTGAAATCCTGTATCTGAATTTAAATTTTTGGCTTGAGTCCCTTTATATATAAACAATTTAATTTAGTAGTTTGTGCATCACTGGTCAAGAAATATAGGAACTCTTATATTCCTTACACTTCTTAATTTATTTGCTCAGTGTCACATTTATGAATGAGACCTATGGAAAAGTCTGTGCTGTATTTCCAACCAAACCTTTTCTCCTGGTTGTCCTAGGTTTCCAGCTCGGCCTGGATCTCCGGTCTTTCCTTCACAACCTGGTGACCCTCTGCCTCCTGCAAGTCCTTTATCTCCTGCAAAAGGAATTAAATGGCAGTACAGATGCTATGGTTATCACCTTATTTTACAAATGGGTATTTGTATGGATGCAGTTATGAGCCTCTGACACTAAAGTAGCTTACAGGGGCTGAAGACAGCATCCTGATTTCAGATCTGATGTGACACACCGCATCTTGTTCCTTACATATTCTCTCAACGTTGACTGTAACACTGCTTGGCTACTTGCTTCAAATCAGTTATTTAACATGCTCTCTTTTTTTAAAGTGAAGCTATTCTGATGTCAGTTCCCTACTGTTTTCTTTAACAAGCAGCTCGGTAGTAGTTTTAGTATCAGAGCTTTCTCCCCCCACCTCCGCCAGGATTATGTGAATAGTTCTTAATATTTCTAGTGTCCAAAGAGGGGCACGACTTTGCATGAGGAATGGCCAAATTCACAGTATTCAAAATGTTTTCTATTACTTGCACATTAGAGCAGGTATTGCATTGTACATAACCAAAATTGATTAAAAATAAAGTACTGACACTTATAAAGCTCTGCTTCTGTAACACATATCCAGGTAAAGAGAATCCATCAGAAGTAAGCATGGCACTCCGATGAGCTGCACCTGTTTGGGCAGTATTCCAGGAAGCATCAATGTCTTTTAAAATATTTTCCTACTGCCAGCTTTGATACCTGATTCTCTGAAATACTTCAAAAAGTTTCAAACTTGCAATTTATAAGCCTGAAGGCAATAAATTACAAGAGTGCTAAAAACACTTGCCCATTTGCCTGTCTGACTAATGTTCATCTTTTTTTCAGCTTGTTGATTGTAATGTGGACTAAAAAAAAAAATAGTTGGGTGGGTTTTTTTGGTTTTTTTTTGTTTTTAATGTGGACTAAAAAAAAAAATAGTTGGGTTTTTTTGTTTTTTGTTTGTTTTTTTTTTGTTTGTTTTTTTTTTTTTTTTAAGATCAAAAAGAGTATTTTACCTTTTGGACCTGGGTTTCCAGGAAATCCCAGCCCTGGAAAGCCTGTGTCACCTGTTGGCCCTGGATGTCCTGAATCACCTGGCTCACCTCTTGCTCCAACCCTACCTGTACAAAGAAAACAGGTAAACTGTGATGTATCGTACCACAGAACATCAACTTGTAAGATTAGGTGTTTTATAGTTTATCATTATTAATTAGGACACGACTGTAGATTATATTAGAACTTAGACACTGTTTCTCCTCCACAGCAGGTTTTCACAGTTAAAACGCTAATTGTGTTCACAGTATCAAAGCAGGCATGAGTCTGTGACTTAAGTTTTCATGCAATCTGCCCAAATTCCAGACTTCTAGGAACAACTACATGCAGATACAAACCTTCCACTTGTTGACAATATACAAACACACATTATAGGGGTGAGGCTTGGAACAGAAGCAACTATAAGAACAGAAGCTACCATAAAGCTGCCAAGAATTTTTCCTATGCTATTCAGGGCAGCTTTAAGGACTATTGTTCTACAAAACCAAAGTAAAGATGAGCATGCTGAAGGTTAGCACCAAGACAAGGGTTCTAGATTTTAGAAGAGCAAACTTCAGCTCCTCAGAGCTCAATTGGGAGGGATTCCATGGGAAGTTTCCATGGAGGATAAAGGAGCCAGCGAGTGCTGGGAGTTCTTCAGGAATGCTCTCTTGGAAGCACAAAACCAGTTTATCCCCTATAAAAGAAAAGGAAGTAAGCAGAGCAAGAGGCCCCCTTGGCTCAACCACGAGCTCCTAGGTC